TAGGAAGGTTCGACTGTATTCAAGTTTTTCTTTTAGTTGCTATAAAAGAAGTCTTTAATGTAATATATTAAAAGCAAATATTAAAAAAGCAGTTTGTAATCTAGATCAAGTTTTTTCAATGAACTTATCTCTATATTTAGTATTCAAACTAGAAAGTTTATTCTAGTAACAATTAAACAAAAAAATTTTAGAATAGTAAAAGAAAAAAAATAAGAATAAATAATTAAAAAATATTCTTTATAGCTTGTATCTTGAAAAATTTTTATTTTTCTATTTTTTAATATTATTAATATTTTAGTAAAATTTTTGTTAAAAGTACTAGTTTACTATGATTAAAAATCATTATTGATTATTTTTTTAAAATAAAAATATAATTATATTGTAACAAGTGGCTATATACATAATTATATAATATAAAATAAAAACAAATACATATAGTTATATAGAATTGCTAATATAAATAGTTATAGAGATATATTATAAAATTGTCTTGTTTAGTCTTAAATTATATATTATTATAGACTAGAATTAGACTTGAAATAATATATACTAGTCTGTAATATAGAGAGTTTATACTAGATTTAGTAACTAATAACTACCAATTCTTTATTGAAACAAAGAGATAGATTTTCTATTAAGACTTGCAATTTTGTTGTCAAGAAATTGCTAGTATCTAGTAAACTAGATTGTAGATTAATTATATATATATAAATATTTTACAATAAACCAGTTAGTTCTAGTAGCTGTGCCAATACAAAACTAAATTTGTCTTTTTTAAAAAAATATTATTATTATTAAAATCTAAGATATAGATAAACAAGGTTATCTAAGTACTAATCTAGAGATTAATATAAAAATAAAATAACTACAAATATACTAAATTAAAAAGCTATAGTCAGAGTATTGCAAAGTAATACAAATGGTTAGCTTTTAGAGATAACCGGGTAAGGTTAAATTTAGGATTAGCTATAATTGGTTAATATATTAATATATGCATTTGAATATTAATTGGTTAATAAAATACTAGGTAATTTCTAATAATAATAATAATATTATTTAATAATTTTACTATTATTAAATTTAAAAAAACATGCTCTATATTCTAAAAGATATAATACTATATTATAATAACTTCTGGCAAATTTCTATATATAAATAATATTATAGTAATTTTTGTTCAAATCTTTATAAAATAATTGTGCCAATCTTATTCCAATTAACAATTAAATATTTTAAATATATGAAATATAAGTTTTATAAATTAAATAGTTTCTAAAAATTATAGCTATAATATAATTTAAAGCTCTTACCCGAGTCAGTTGACTCATATAGGTGGATCCGACTTGGCGGTTACAGGTCAAAAAGTGGATAAGCACAAGTCAAACAGGTCATTAATACTGTAATATGTTAGATTAGATTAACTCTACCGCTTATATCACTAGTGCTAATCACAGCTTAATGGCATTTTATTTTATAAACCGGTTTGGCATAATTTTTAATACAGAGCGTAACTAATTAATATCGTAAGTTTGCATGTACATGCGTACGTACGTAAGTTGTGACTAATAACTGTTTGACCCATGATTTTATCCGGAATTGGATTTTACATTATCAACAGGTATTCGGCGAACAATATAAAGTACCAAAATTTAAAATTATTTAATTTAGTTATATCTATATATATGTTTTTTTTATAAAAAAAATTTCCTTTGTAAATATGATTTGCACTCCGTAAACGGTTCGCAATTATATCACTTGGCTGAAATTTATGTAAAGAATCATATTGAGTAAAAAGTGATAACTATAAATATCTGTAAATATATGTCAATTGATGGTTCGAATAAATCTGTGCCAAATATATTCTTAATTATATTTGCTAAAAAAAAGTTAACTGCTAGAGGTGCGATCATGATACATAGTGGCAGTTGCAACTTTTACCGACGCAGGTAGTAACCTATGGCGAGATTGTAACCTATAAACGCAGGTTGTAAATTCTTTATTACATTACGATCTTTGTTTCTTGTTACGATTAGTGGTGCGCAATTGAGCCGTAATTAATGACGTAATTACACACGCTTACACCACTAATTACGATATATGAGCGTTGCTAAAGAAAAATGAGACATCCTTATCAATGACCTAAAGTCTCATTTTTCCCTGGCACACCCCAAAATTTAAGATATTTAATTTTAAGGTACAGTACATAATCAATTATGTATTAGTATATCGGAGTACTATAAAAATAATAATCTAAATTTAGGGTCTGAACAGAATCGGCCGTAATACAGCACTTGCTGGGTTCAGGCTATTAACATTTCAAAAACTTAAGTCTAGTTTTTCCATTAATGGTTTGAAAATAAATATGTAATAATAGGATGTTAAAAATTAACACATAAAAACTTCAACGATTAAAAGTATTAAAATTAAATTTACCAGCCACCTAGTTATCCAATTTGAATAAACTTTTTTTTATTTTGTAGAGTTAAATAAGCTCTACAAAATAAAAAAAAGTTCATTCAAATTGGATTATTATATGACTGATAAATTTAATTTTTATTCACAAAATCAATATAGCCTCTGAGGGTCATTTTCCTAGCAAAGATCCCATTTGTTTTTATCGAACAGAGTACACTTCAAAATCCTGCATACATTATTTCCGCATGACGTCTATATACAGCTTGTTTGGTCCCTGTATATATCACTTACGAATAAAATTTCAGAAAAATCCAATTATGCTTTTTACATCGGAAGCAGTACTTAAAAGGACAAAATCAAAGAATATTTTTTAAGTACCCGGTTGGTTGAAAATATCATTCCTGAAAAGGTGAACAAACGGCGTAAGGAGAAGTAGTCATGCAAAGCACTAAGATATAGACTGCCGACAACAAAAAAAAGTACTGTTTTTGTATAGCGCCGAAGATATATCTGTAGATAAATAAGATTAACGATCTTGTTTGCATGAAATTAAATTCATAAGCTTGATTTAATTTGGACGCTGATTACCAATAAATTAACGGCATCGGTACCAATCAAAAATCTTAAAGGAAACTTGCCTTCTTATCAAGTAGGGGACGCGTATTCTTACATCCTCCTGCATAGTAATTTTTCCTGTATATGCAAGGGACAATATCCTCAAATTCTCATGTTGTTGCATTAACTATTATGTAACCATTAATTACATAAAGTTTTGACAACACTTTGACAACACAAATCACATGCCCAAGAAACAACTTGTACAGTCGTCCTCCCATACAATCACACAGTTGGGCACATAGTAATTTTTTTCAAAATGTGCTTATAAAGGAGTTATAAATGTGATTACATATGATGTGATTATACAGAAGGTGACTATATGTAGGGACTACTGTATTTATTGTCATCAAATTTAGTATTGGAAATATCTTAGGACTTTATTGACTTCTTATATACCCCATTACGGCACATTTATCAAATTATGCTAAAATTCGGTCTAATATTTGGTCCTCAAATTTAATGATGCACCCTCATCGATTAGCACAAAGATCAATATTACATATTACTCAAGACTTTCAAAATTTGGGGTATTTTATAAATGCGCTGCAATACTCGTGTTTTTCATAGAAAGGATTTTGCGGAAAAACTTCAACGTATAGTATCGTGCCTAACAGCTTATAATATTGGCCTAAAGGGATGTGATGGTTACGAGATATTCATAAACTTAGTATATAGTATTTTTTTTCGCAAATTGTGATATATTACAATATGAAAATTAAAATTATAAGCGTTACTAACATTAATGCATTACGCAGTACCTCTTCAGGCAGGCATACTATTACCTATTACATTATATTATTCTGAATATACCAGTCACATAAGTGGTTTATATTCTTTCGTTTATAGAAGTGTTATGCATTATTGCTTTTTTTTTTTTTCTTTTTTAGGAGTCAAGTTAGTGTTTTGGGTTAAACTACTTTGATGAGAAATAATGCCGGAACGCACTTTTTTAAAGTATGTTTCGCAGTACGAAATAATTTTTCCCGGGCGAAATATTCAGATTCTTCTGAAACATTAAATCATTTGGTTTTTTATACCATTTCTATTATATATAACCTATATATTAATCGTTTAAACATACGTAGTAGCGAAGTAGTCTATACTCATAAAGTTATATTGTCAAATATAGATTTTAGCATCAACTCATCATAGTGTCAAAATGTTAAGAATATGACCGATAACTTTTAGAAGTCGATACCTCGCTTGCGTGAGAAATGAGAAGTTAAAGGTTCCGTCTGTTCACATGACTTTGGGTATAAAAATTTGGCTGCCAATAAATAATAATAATAATACTGATTTTGCCTAAATAATCAATACTCCCAGTTAGAGTGCGTTATTAAAGTGGGGGAAGATGGGTTAGTCTGTGGAGATGGGTTAGGATTAGGGTTAGACACGTAACTAAAATTTAAATTTGGTTACCAAATACTTGATTTGGTTACCGAATTTTAGCTTAATTTCATAAATTCACCGTGATGTATTTTACACCATATATATTGTAAAACCATCTTGAGAACTGAATTAGATATTTAACTATAGTTGACTTATATTTTTAAAACGTATAAAGCAAAGATTCTTCACGCTTTTAATAAAGATTTAGACTCCGATGTCTTAATTAGATGGGATGTCGATTTCTCTGTGGTTACTATTCAAGTGTTATTAAAAAAATTTTTATTAATAATCGGTCTGCTACCCCAATACTTTCGTTAATCCTTATATTAGGGTTTCTAATTAAAATCAGAGTGTCTTATTTTTCTGATTTATGATTCAACATAGTAAAAATACTATTAAAAGATCCTACTTATTTTCAAAATGCGTCACCTATTTGTTAATTATGAAACCCCCTACTAAGGTTTTTTGCTTTATAGTTAATGCTGACTAACGTTTTTTATTGATTCATTAAATTAATATTAATACCGTAACTGCAATCGATATATTTAACCGACAATGAATAAATTAATTCTGTCATATCACATAGATAAGCCACTCCAACGATCTATGCTTATGGACAGTATCATATCGACTTTAGCAAAATCATTTTTTGCAGTATAGATGACCCCTTTAACGTTAATATAAGATGTATTATTAATTGAATATAAAGTTGCCAAATAGAATCACACAAATTCGCAACCGTAGTGCTGTGAGAATTTTCCTACCTAATGATATAACTTTATGGTTACTCCTGTAAATCGTTTCGTGGATTGCATCTTGATATTTATTGTAACCATTTTTTGTATTTACCGTGGTATAGGCTCTTAACCTATAAATATATATATATATAGTCATAAATTATCGTATGATATAAAAAACTATAGATTGCTAGCCAATAAAAACAGGTTTTAATACATGATCTTTCTATCTATTCGGAATATTCTTTAACATAATAAAGATCATGCACAATATCTTTGTTACCAGAAAGAAACCTATTATACTACACTTTAACCCACTCTGCAAGCCTTAACTGCCTGCGCTCCTCGGCTTGTCCCTTTAGGTCATTCAGGTATATATCAGAGAAATATCAAATTCTGTTTTTTGTGGATTTTTGGCTCCCATCGTGACATCAGCGGAGACAATATTAAAAGCTGATAGATCAAACATATAACAGCTCTGGTAGCTTACTGATAACTCTATCAGCTTCCGATACGTATGTCTATGTTATTGCAAAAGTAATAAGAACATGAGATCTACAATGTTTTTCTGATACGTATACGATTTCAATCTGTGATAGGTATACACGTTGGCAAAACTATAAATCCTCAAAATCCCACCCAAATCCAAAACATAATAAAATTGTCCCAAATCCCAATCACAAATCCCAAATCCCAACCTTAAACATAGTAAAAATTAGTCCCAAACTAGTTAGGTTTGGACGGCAACTATACCTGCGGTAAGCGTTGAACCTATCACTATACATGTTGGCAAAACTATTGGGATTTGGGATTTGGGATTCGGAATTGGAATTTGGGAT